TTGGTTCTTGCTTTGTTTGTTCCCAGTTAGAGTTTCTTGTTGGTGATTCTTTCCGGCCCGGCCATCTGATCTTCAGTATAGAGCGAAGACAGTTGTTAATAAAGGTCTGCAACTTTTTGGAAGTTCTTCATATTAACTTTCACAAAATATCTGTTCCTCCCTTAGTTTCTTCAAACGTCTGGTTAATTCTTTTTCCAATCTGTTACTGAAACACTTCTACTCCTCAAGTTTTTGAAACTTCACTCACTGTCTTTCAGCACATCAGTAAATCGTTATTTACTTTATTCACTATGCACAATTGAACACCAATACTTTAGCTTTTCAAATGGAATATGTTCCCCTAATTTCAATCATTTTATTTTGTGATCACGTGACGGATTTAATAAGAATAACCACTTACTACAAATGAAAAACTCGGAAACAATGATATCAGATTTAGTGATGTCATTACTTCACAACAGTAAAAATTTATATGATATTCACATGATATATTGTGCACGGTATTACTCTACCATCATGGATGTATGAATGTACAACAGATGAACAGTTGAAATTCTGAGATTGATAATAGTGAATTAATTATTAAAGCAAAAGCAAACTAAAAGTAAAATTAAAAAACAAAAGAAAACATCAAAATTTTTTACACGGAACGATTACTGAAGAGGTTAAGACCAAGAGACTGGACAAACTTTTTCTGTATACAGAGTTCTGGGCTGTATTGATGAATTGCCAGCGCCTCCGCCATACACAAAAGCCGAAACCTGACGCCTTCACCTTGCAGATGATCTTGAAAGACGACTCTGGTGGAGCTACGTGGCCTGAGTTCACCAAATGCTCGAGAATTGAGCTAGTAATTGTCTACCATTGTCCCTTCGCTAACCATGCCAGATAATGTTCAGAGATGTGTTTGGAAAGTGTGCGACCGTTTTGTGCGGCCAATATAACCAGCTCCACATGAGCATGTGAATTTATATATTTTTTTAAGTATAAATACGACTGTACAGACTCTGAAAATGATTTCGTCAATAAAGAAAACTTTCTTCGCTGAATCTGTCTTTTATTTTCTTCAAGGTACATCTCTACCTGAAGAGCAAGTTAACACAAAGGTTCTTCAACCAAAACATGCTTGTCATGATGACAGATTAAATCTCAGCACGGATAAAAAGGGCTCGTTCAGCAATCGCCAACTTATAGTGTGCTGAGAGCTGCCTCCAAGCTAAGATTGTAGACAACAATTTACGTCAATCTTCACTTCGCGAATCAGGGTCGTGAGAAAGACTATAACAAAGCTTAACCTTGAGAAAATCACCAGCCAATCACAGAGGAGTTATAGTGTGGAAATATGATTCACACATATATGGCTTGATTTTCTGAGAAACGGCCACAAAGGGATAACAGAATAACCTTCAGCAAGAAAACAACCAATCAGAAGAGGTTGTTACTCAGTTAACAATAATGTACATAAAAATCTATAAATACCTCTTGACTTTCTCAATAAACGATCTGTTGCTTAGTTCTTGTCTTCTGTCTTTATGATAGCATCTCTGGCACAGACGTGATGTTCGGTTATCGATAAAAGGATAGACGTACTGCTCATAAGCTCTTTTTCGCTGTGTTAGGCGTGGCTATTGAAACTTAAAGATAGGAAAAACCTAGTTGTCTTTAACCGTTGGTGTCTGCGTTCAATATTCTATGTTTAAATGGCATAATAATGATGATTTATGTTGAAGTCAGGCGCAAAGTGCTAAAGTGGGGACGGTAAGTCAGTCAAAGACGTTTTGAAGCTAAATTTATTGAATGAGATACAGCTGGAACACACAAGCATATATGTTACGTATGCCACACAATCACCCTCTTGAACAGGCGAATTCAGCTGACGTAGAATCGAGTTGGAAAGAAGTAGAAGATGATCAAACCAAAACACGACATAGAAATGATCCTTCAAGTTAACTAAAAGGATGCAGAGAACATGGTTAGAATCCTCAAGACGCTCAGAATCCACAGCTAAAGACTTCTGGCAATGTAGCTCAAAACCGTCTTCAGTGATGCTTATGCAATCACTCATTGTAAACTGTAGGATCTAGTCAATTTTCACCAATATTATCCGTATCAATATTTTTCAAATAATCGGTTCATTGCATTTCTTTTTCCTCTTTTCCCTACTTCATGTGTACATTCACAGAAAGTGTGGCAACTTGAAATGTTATTGTACTTGTGTGAGACATTTTATGCATTACACCATTTTTTTTCCTTCACGTTCCCCAAAGGAACATAGGGCTTCAAGCTAGTGGCTTGAAGTTTCTGTAGCATATATATATATACAGAATATTCTAGAATAATCGTCATTAAAAATATTGACGTTTATAAATTCTATCGATTTGTTAAGATCAGTGAAATTACAGTTCAAGAAAGTCGCTCAAGTTATAATAAGCATTAAAATTTAATAATAAACAGAATATCAAATAAAATTTAGGAAATCTCAACAACAAATTAAGGATCATTAAAACCGTGATTGACGACCAAGGTAACGACAGTGTCTAAACCAACTTCTTTTGAACGCATAAGTTAAGTTTTTAATGCAGATCCCAACAGCCTCAGCAATACGTAGTAGAGGAACTCTTATGGGTAAAGTTAAGATTAGTTGGCACGTGGTAGATGACTTCGAAAGCCTCGTTAAGATCAATCTTGTGTTCTGTATCCACAAGATGGGACACACTAGAGCTATGAATGAATTTTCTTTGTCCTTTACTTTACCACTGTGCAGGAGGGTGTTCAGATGTCCGATGATAAACACAGTTAGATTGCATAAGAAAGGTAATATCACTAATGATTATTATCCTATCCGAAATTCCAGGCCGTTCTGTCATTACCACGTTTGCAATTCCCCTAATTGCACAAAAAACCGTCAAGTTTCTCAATAATTATGATCCCACTCAGTTCTCTTTTATCCGATCTTCCTCTCTATCACATCTGGTAATTTTACTAATTTGACCTTTGATCGGATACAGAGGTAGTTCTAAGACTTTCTCAAACACTTACTCCGTAAATACACGAATATAAAGACTGACAGACTGGTCACAACGTAGAACTTTTCACAGGTACGCAACAGTTCGAGTCGCCACACTTCACGTAGAACACAAAGCAGTAAATGAAAGTAAAAACACATTCAAAACAGAGATAATAAACAGAAATATGGGGAAGAAAGAATAGTAGTATCGAAGAACACTATAGTTTTGTTGGGTATTATAAGTCACAAGGACTGGAAGTATCTGCGCCATTATTTTTATTACAGCTTGATTCCACACCCTATTTTTGGTACAAGTATGGAATTCTCAGCATGGATATCGGTAGCCCAAATTTTGCAGGTCAACCATAGATATCAGGTGTGCGTCGGCATGGGATCAAACCTCGGATGATGTGCATGGTCGGCGAGAGTCCTTACCGCTGTGCCACCGACGCACAGACAACGATTTCTAGCCATATCACCATTTATCTCCCACCGTCATTGGTTCCTCCATCCCGAGGACTCCAACCAGGAAGTCTACACCTTCCTAAGTGGCTGGCTTAAACTAACTGTTGTGGATTTCACTGACTAATGAAGCCATGTTTTAGTTTCACCACCACCAACTAGCTTTTTTCCAACCTAACCCTATGTCAGCTGACATCAACCATCGAGGAAGGTGATGACTGAAGCAGAAATAACACACATACTATCTCACTCGATGTTACTTCACAACTTTGTCGATTGATTCCTCCTTTGCCTAGCACTCGACAGCTAACCTCAGTATTGCTTCCTCTACTATACCAATTCCCACGGGAGATGGAACGCAGGCACCTATGATCAAAGACAGCCAGCAAGGCTTTCCATGTCCTCCACTCTAAATGACAAGGTCTCACAGTCATAAAGGAGGACGGAGCGGACTGCTGAGCAATACACACGTCCTTTGGTCAACAGCCAGCCAGATATCACGTCTACTCCAGAGACGGCGTAAACTGACAGGTATATGCGAAACTAACCTTCTCTATCTCAACTGAGATTTCGTCAGCGATCAACCGGTTGGCGCTGGCTGATGCAACTTCCCAAATAAGTGAAGTGGTCAACACGCTCTACCACTTCACTCCCTATTTCTAAGCTACGAGTCAGTGTAGTCCAGTCCTGTAACATCATCTCACATTTGGCGGGAGCAAATTGCATGTCAAACATTCAAGGATTACTGCACCTCAATATGTTTAGAAGACTATGAATTTCGTCATTGTCTTCACCTAGGATTGGGGACTATATCATCTGCATATTCTAAGTCAAAAAAGAGTATTCCTAGGCTGGTAACGAGTCAATCCCGTAGTCCCTGAAGTCACCCAGGGTTAATTCCGTTAGTACATCTATGGGATAGTGGGCATCCCTAACGGACACCACTAGTTGTCACCACTTCACATGACAACTCTCCGTTAGCTCTCACCTAACTGGCTGGCTGGCTGGTTGCATGAATTCGAGTAGAGTGCCTCGATCAGTGCAATGTATTTTCTCGTCATTCCCTTCACAGCCAACCATCGTCAGAGTACCTCTCGGCCGACAGAATGACGATTGTTGGACGCCAACGGTAAGTATGCTTATGTTCCACTCCAGAATCGGTCAAAAGGTAAAGATATAATCAACACACCCTCTTCCTCGTCTACAGCCTACCTGGCTTTCTCATCTATGTTCTTTCTGTGAACCGCTTAGTCCACGCATGATTATTGAGCCTAGAACTGTGTATACCATATTATTCAAGCTAATCCCCCTGTGATTATCACAGAAAGATTTGTCTGCTTTCTTGTATATCAGGATAATCAATGACTTACACCAGCCCAACGGCACTACCTCTGATTACCAGACGCTGCCTAATACCTTGGTTAACGCATAAAGTAAACTGTCTCCACCGTACTTAAATACCTCTGGAGTCATTCCATCAGGAACCGCTAATTTGCCTAGTTGATTGTGGAGTTAGTCGAAAAGAATATTTTCCTCGCCGAAACCGTCCTTTTATCATTTTTGTATTATTATAGCACCGTTCTCCCCCAAGACAAGTTCATCACACAAATGTCAATAAAAAGCGACAAAGCGTACAAACAATAATAATGATAATAATTATAGTAGCAATACAAAACAGTTACGAATCAATTGTTTTTACACAATTGTTATTTGTTTCATGATTTACTAGGAGCAGGAGGAATAGGAGCCGGCGTCGTCATCGACGGCAGCGGCGGCGACGATGGGGAAGAAATGTTTGACAAGGAAAACATTTTTACAATTCTGGATGTAATCGTTTAAACAATTGATCAGGATCTTCACTACACGCAGCAGGAGTGATTAATTGCATAACATATTCACATCGAGATGGTTCACTCACCGAAGTAATTTTATTTGTGTCACCACAGTGAACAAATACCTGAAAAAATTAAGTGGTAGAGAAAAATAAAGTTAACTCGATCTGTGTTCATCTTATAAATCAAAAGTGAAATGGGCCAAGTTAAACTTTCGACACCACTAATTGACTCCTAATCAGCGAACGACGTCGACTTATCCAATACGATTCACGAACGTAGTTCAATGTTGTATAGCCCTTGATTCATTTCTAATGCGTGACCTTAAAAGGTTACGCATTACAATTCGAGGAGGACAGTGTTTTCCAGTATTGCCTGGATTTAGGATTGCTCCGGAAGGAGCGAACTTCTTCGTGTAGTGGTATCATGACTTGAAAAATCTATAGCAGATCAACTGATGGATTTGTTCATCGTTGTGCTATATGTTTGAAGCGTGCTAACATTAGAGAGGGTAAGCTGATAATTTTAATATTTCGTAGGGACTTTTTTCGCTAGGTCGCATCTCTCCCTAACCCAGATTTTGTATATCTGCAACTACTGGGTGTTGAAACAGCCGGTGAGAGCAGAAGCTGTCGAGACGGAGAATAGCCTCGTCTCAGCAGTTCAGTGGTACCATGTTAATATATGTGTAAAACTTGGGCACTGTGGTATTAAGTAATTCCATATTAGTTTGATTGTTAAATGTATCACACAGTGAAACAGTATTGTATACTGGTACCAGCATTGCAGAGATATTGCTTCGTGGAAAATAGAGAGAATGACTTGTTTGCTGGGTGGATCGCGTTACGAGGACTCAAACGAATTCCAGTGAAGGGTTTTGGGGCCGCTTGAAAAACAGGATAAGGGTTATAAATGGATCTCAAAAGGATCTCTCATTTGTAGTCATTTAGATGGATATATGTACAGGATGTGGTGTGACTTCTCCATTGACAGGCACATGCTAAACTGGGAGATGTTTCTCTCAAATGTTCGAGAACGACACTCCTTGTAACCGTTTTATCCTTTTTTCATGCTTTTTTCTATAAATATACGTTTTCATTTACCATAAATGCCTCTTTAATGTGATTGGTCCGTTTAAGGTCGTTTCCTGATTGGTTGTTAATGGTGTCGAAAGTTTAACTTTGCCCAGTGAACATATCGTCTGCATGATCTCCATGGTGATTTAGTAGGAGAATTAAACATCCTAAAAGGTTTACCTTCCCAACCTAGAAAAGAACCCAGCTAGGACATTGTAGCGCATTCACTAGCTCATATAATCAAACAATATGGTGGGATAGAGTGAAAGTACTAAGACAGGGATATGAGACAAAAGGAATAGTTATATCGAAGAACAATATGGTTTCATTAGGTATCAAAAGTCACAAGGAGTGGATGCATCTGCGCCAGCCATTGAGAGCGATTTTGAGCCATATCACCAGTTGTCCCCACCCATTGTTACTGGATTTTACCGTCCCGACGACCCCAACCAGGAATTCTACACCTTCTTACGTGGCTACCTTAAACCAACTGTTATGGATTTCATTGGCTGATGAAGTCCAACCTGACTCTATGTCAGCTAACATTTCCCGTAGAGGAAGCCGATGGCTAGGCATACATAACACATGTCCTAACCATATCAGTCGGCGTAACTTCACAGACTCATCTATAGATTTCCCCTCATTACCTAGCACTCAACCGATGCCTTATTATACCACTTCACACGGGAGATGGAACGCAGGCTCCTATGATCAAAGACAGCCAGCAAGGCTTTCCATGTCCTCCACTCTAAATGACAAGGTCTCACAGTCATAAAGGAGGACGGAGCGGACTGCTGAGCAATACACACGTCCTTTGGTCAACAGCCAGCCGGATATCACGTCTACTCCAGAGACGGCGTAAACTGACAGGTATATGCGAAACTAACCTTCTCTATCTCAACTGAGATTTCGTCAGCGATCAACCGGTTGGCGCTGGCTGATGCAACTTCCCAAATAAGTGAAGTGGTCAACACGCTCTACCACTTCACTCCCTATTTCTAAGCTACGAGTCAGTGTAGTCCAGTCCTGTAACATCATCTCACATTTGGCGGGAGCGAATTGCATATCAAACATTCGAAGACTTTTACTCCTCAAGGTGTTCAGAAGACTCTGCATTTTGTCAGCGTCTTCACCCACGTGGGAGGACTATATCATCTGCATATTCTAAGTCAACAAGATTATTCCCTGGCTGATGACAATACAATTTCTGAGTCGATGAAGTCACTTAGGGTTAATTCCATCAGTACAACTATGATAAAATTAAAGTGATTCGGAAACAGTAGGCATCCCAGGCGGACACCACTAGTTGTCACCACTTCACATGACAACTCTCCGTTAGCTCTCACCTAACTGGCTGGCTGCATGAATTCGAGTAGAGTGCCTCGATCAGTGCAATGTATTTTCTCGTCATTCCCTTCACAGCCAACCATCGTCAGAGTACCTCTCGGCCGACAGAATGACGATTGTTGGACGCCAACGGTAAGTATGCTTATGTTCCATTCCAGAATCTATCAAAGGGTGAAGATACCATCAATAGACCCTCTTCCTGGTCTAAAGCCTTCTTGGTTCACTCGTGTTTGTGCCTCCCTAGTACTACTCAGTCTACGCATTATTATTGAACCTGGAAATTTAGATATCATACTCGTGCAATCTTAATGACATAATGTCCATATCTGCCGATGAAAAAATCGCAATAATGAACAGGCAGATAGAATTAAAACTGTATACATTGATATGACCATGACCGATAAATTGTGTACGAAACGTCATCCAGTTATTCACACAGTATCACTGCGTTACATTGAACAAACTTATCCAACATAAAACATCTCGAATACAGCTTGTTACAGGCGAAATCTTCCATATCACCAATTCTTTACTCTTCCCAGGATGATGTGACTTATTATTTTGCTTTGAGTGGAGAGGCGAATGATTCCTGCAACTTTCCCGCCTATAAACTCAATGGTTTTTAGGATTTCTCGACCAGTTTTACGTTTTGGTATTCACCGAAAGTTAAGTTTGCTGGTGGTATTTCTGGACGAGTTATAGGTAGCGACTGGTTGATTCAAGAGTTTGTTGGAATGCCCAGCCAGGTGCTTCCTCCGTCTTACATATTAGGTAATTGGATTTCCTTCACTACTATTCAATGACTTCACAAGTATGCGGTTTTTTCTCGAATAGCCACCTGATTATTTCATTTAGTGTTGTGAGGTCTCTTTTATCTGCAACCTGTTCTGTTTCAGTTCTCAGTGTGTCATAAAAACGTCCGTTCTCTTCCTCATCGCAGTTCTTCACACCTTTGTCCAGTATTGTGCAGGTTGTACCCAGCTTCTTTCTCTGTTCTTCCTCACCAGGTCCACTACTCTTCTCCTCTCAATCAGTTACCATACGTCTGTAATTGAACATTCTCTCTCTTTCTGTTTCTTCCTTCACAATGAGTTCATGCAGCTTTCTATACGCATCGCTTTAAGTTTTTAGGTGTTCTTCCATGCAGACGTTGCTTTCTCCTGATGACTGTTGTGAAGATATCATTCGTAACTTCGTCCTTCAACCTGGATATGAATTAGGCCTATCTCTAGCTTATTTGAAGGCTTTCAACTTGTTCTTTAACCCTCCCTACACACTAGATAGCGATCTGAACCAATTTCTTATCCAATAAGTTGCGTCCCAACCTTCTTGAGTCTACAATTTTGGTGTGTCTTCCTGCTGACACCTGCTCACCTCATAGCATGTATATTTAACGTGTAAATATGTATTAAAGACACTTTAAAAAAATACCTCCATTACCCAAATTAAAAGTAAATTTCAATAGGTAATTTAGTTATTCTTGAAATCCTACCTTCGTAGATCTAGTTGGTCCATTCCAACAGCTCATTCCATTTTCATAATACATAACTTCATAAGATTTTTCATTACCGTCGCCTTCTAACCAACGACCCCATCTGCCGATACATGTACCTATATCTGATTTCGATGAACCAAGTGGTCTTTGATGAACAGATTTGAAAGCGCATAGACTGTAGGTGTACTCACGATCGTCTACCTCTAAACAACCATCTGATAACTCGGTCAACATACGAAAGCCTTCCTCTGGACCATAATCAATTGGAACGGGAGTTGGTTTACTGTAAAAAGAAAACGGGAATGAAATGTGTAAAATTAATGTTTAACTTTTAAGCATGTAGTGTGAAAAAGAAAAGTGTTCCCCACCGGATTCACCACCTAATGGAGAGTGAGGACAAATACTCGCCACGGATGACATCGGCTGACGCCACTCGCGTTAAAATCAAAAATTGGTAGAGGTTAGGATTCATGAGGCAGTGGCTGAATGGTCAACGAGCTTGACTTGTAACCAGAAGATTCTGGATTCGAACACTGATGGTGGGTGTTTACTGCAGATGACTCCCGAATCAGAACGACACAGATGGCCAGCACTATCAGGTTTCCCAATGGCTCCCTAGCCGATGTCCCCTCATGATGAAATCCTGTAACAACCATAATATTAGACATTCTAAATGACGACGTCGGTTTCGGTCACTCTAAAAGATAGCTTCCCATAAAACCACTTCAGTTCGAGTAATGTCTTGATCACCATAATATATTCTAAAGAATTTACACGGAACAGATTTCTTATTTACAAGACTATTTTACAAGAGGCAATAATATTATCCACAACTGTTTATTCTGAATTATTTTATTTATTTATTTATTCAAAACAGAGAACTGCAGGACAGCATAAGCGCCAAGAAGATAAGTCACACAAATTGTCAGTGTGAGAGATGGGACACTACCCGGGAACCCAGATGGAAGCGGGTGGTTTTCTCAAGGGACCAATCCTTCCCCAAGCCTCTGATTTGAAGTTTCATTCGTAAGGCAGCGGAGCAGCGTCAGGAGCTACGTTGCCAGTGACCAATACAGCCTCCTACGCCATTCGGTCCGTTTGGATTCTTATAGTAACTGCTTTTACATAAACCACTATCCAGACAACTTTTATGACATGGTAGGACCTGGAGGAACAACAGTCACAGTCAGTGTAGTTTGTTAGATCATTACGGCATGGAAGCATGATCACCGCGTCAAGGTCACAGTTATCGGTAATACTGAACTAGGTGAAAAAGGACTCAAGCCCGAGACCTATTGGCTATTAGTCGAGTTCTTAAGCCAAAACGCAACATCCCCACATTGCCACAAAAATATAGCCCCCATCACTTCCTTTAAAGTCAGACGAGGTCACAATACTTCTCAGTACAGAAGATCGAACAGCAAAGACTGTTATCCAACTGGACATGAGATTTGCTGGTTGACAGAGCCAATAGGAAGTTAGTCATGTAGTTTTAGTAGGCTACGAACATACTTTCTTTGGCTCAATTCTCAGACAATATTCATAGAGTTAACACAGACGGTAAAGAAGCTGCCTGGCGAATACTATCAACTGTAGAAAGGAGAATGGGTGAAAAACAGAACTCTGCATTTTTTTAGAAGGATGTTGAGGCCTCCTACTTACCGACTATCAATACTACTGAAGTTGAAATCTTCTCTTAGCCACCTGGAAAACAAGAAGAATTGGTTCTGCTTGATAGACGAGGAGGTTATTCACACGCACAAAACCTATCAGAGTTTGTAGAGTTGCAGCATCCGTACCGAAAAATCAACTACGGAGCAGTGTAGGATAAGTAAGGATATGGAAACTGTAAGGGCGGGGTGTTTCCTAATCCTACCCTCTCAGAAGTATGAAGGTGTAACAACAGAAGACAAGGGCCGGTAACAGATCGTTTTATTACGGAAATCAACACGTATTTATGTATATTTCCTGTACATTATTATAGCTTATGCAAGTAGACAAACGCAGGCTTCTGGTTGGTTGTTTCGGGTAATCATCGAAAAGTGGAGCCATCTATCTACGAATCATATTTGCCCACGTTAAGTTTGCTGTGATTGGTTGTTGAATCAGCCTTGTTCATGTTTTCTCACGGCCAATATTAGTGACCTAGACATTCACTTAAATTAATGTCTATCAATTGGTTAGCAGCCTGCTTTCACCACAAAGGTAGGATGGCTGACTTACTGATAATCCAAGGGAAACATTTATCCCTCGGAAGTAAGATTTCGTCTGTGCAGACCGCCATCACATAGCGTAAGGAACTTACACAAAAATGAGAACCGCTCTCAGAGCATACCACAGAGATGAATAAAAATTTTTACAACAAACACAAAGAATGATAGTAAAGCCGACGGAGACTTACTGCTGTGGATCAAAAGACCCTTCATGACTTGGTAGTGCTTCTAAAAATTTCAACAGCGTTAAGAAAACAAAGAAAAAATGTCATATAGGAAACGACAATACAAAAAAAGTTGTACTCAATCTCTTTATCATATGATATACACAACACAATCCAACAATCAAAATATAATTTTTTTATTTTTTTATTTTTGATTACAGCTTGATTCCACACCGTATTTTTGGTACAAGTATGGAATTTTCAGCATGTGATATCGGTAGCCCAAATTTTGCAGGCCGACCATAGATATCAGGTGTGCGTCAGCAGGGGATCGAACCTCGGACCATGTGCATGGTCGGCGAGAGTCCCAGCCACTGTGCCACCGACGCACTGGTGGTGAGAAACAAAGACACTATGAAAACAAAAAAAAACAAGTATAACAATACACTAATTGAAGGAGAACAGCTTGTCCTTTTCTATTCCTGTATATTCCCAGTGGAAAATAAGGCTTCAAGCTAGAGGTTCAAAGCTTTGGTAGCAGTGGTGTTTATTTTTACAGGATGTGATTGTTAGCCCTCATATCCAACATTCCCTCTTTATCAGTCTTATTAGTGGCTAAACGAGGTAAAGGAGTTCGTCGGTTGGGGATCGAAAACCAAACCCTGTGCGTGGTCAGCGAGCATTCTACTGATTTGTAACAGATGTCATACATGGTTGAAGGCAATCGGCAGGAAGCCTTGGAAATAAATTTCGCGCCTATCGTTACTCGTCATCAGGGTGTACCTGCAATCACCTTCAATGAAAACTCATATCCCTTCTGGGATTCGAACCTGTGTCACATATTGCTGTAGTCAGAAACGTTAACACTGAGCTATTCGGGCTCGAATAGCTTGTTTGATTAAATAAAACTACCCTTCAAAAATTGCAAAATATTATCGATAAAAGCCAGTTAAATATAAGTTATGTGATGACCGCCAGTAATGGAGTCCTTGATTTGTGTTTCACCACACGTGTCTAGACCTCCACTTCCCCACCCAGTGAGTGATAGCGTTCCGTCTGGGGTTTGAAACTAGTGCCCATCTTTCCAAACGCCAAATATTCGAGAGATACATTCGAGGTACAGGTATATCTGGCTAAGCAGCTGCCCAACGCTTGAAAAAGAAATGAAACATACGTTTTGGATCTGACTACCAGTCTCCATCAACCAAAAGAATCACGTTAACCTTCAGACATTGTTGAAAGGTCCCTATCAGCAGCTGACTCGTAAACAAGGACCGAGTATTCCGGTCCAATCAAAGTCAGTCAACAGAAAATGCAAAATAACTCAAACTAGTTGAGCGCAATTACCAAAATTTACATATTTAAATACGATCAAAGCATTTAGTAAAAATATATTGGGAAACATTAGAAGCTTATGTGGCACAGCGGTAGAATCCTCGCCAACCACGCCACAAATGGTTCGGGGTTCAATGCCCAGTCGATGCACTCCTTTATCTCACTAAGCCAGTAATAAGACTGGTAATGAGAGAAGGTCAGACATGAATCTAGCGATCCCATCGCAAAAACTAAACACCACTGCTACTAAAACTTCGAACCTCTACCTAGAAGCTCGATGCTATACAACGAACGTAAAGTAATAAAATAATAATGATGATAAACAGGCCACCTAGATGAACCCATCTATACTCACAATTGTTAGTATTAGATGGGTAGAGGGAATCAGGCAGAGGAAAGCCTTGGTAACATACCTGACTCCAGCACTCACTGGGTGACACAGGACCGAATCTCAAAGGGGATATGAGTCCCTTCAAGACTGTAGATACGCCTTGTTGACTGATGACTGCCGACAATCAGTATTAAATCTAGATTCTAAGGCATCCTGATAAGAGCAGTTCAGAGTGCAACATGATATCAAACCATCTTAGCATGGTGGCCACGTTGCGGAGTTGACTGATAGAATTCAGTCTACAGCAAATAAACAAAGGAGACTACACGTATGACTAGAATTTTTTATTCCTTCACGTTCTCAGTGGAACATAGGGCTTCGGGGATCGATCCTCGAACCACATGCGGTGTGGTTGGCGAGGATTTTACCGCTACCGACCCACCAGCTGGATGAAGGAGGTCTAATTACTGAGCACCTGGATAACTTGTTTGAATTTCACCTCTGAAATAGTAATGCACCCAAAATGTATCACTTTACATGATCAACTCAAATGAACTAACCAAAGATTCGCATGACACGAGCAGATCAATAAAGCTTAGGACTAGTATTTTCAAAAGTCATAAAAATACAAGACGTTGCGTCAATTCTAATGGATTCACAGAAAAGATAATGAACATTACTGATTCTAGGTTACGTCAGATAACTTGGGGTTTACTTATAATCCCTGTCGACATGTCTGGATAGAATTCATCTATCTCATTTTAGCATGTGGCCTGCCTTAAGATTACCAGGATTAATAGCCCGAAGTTACTAGCCGCATACAAAGTGGGTCTCAACGCCCAGCGGATAACCCTCTGGCTGTTGAAACGATGGGTGCCGGCTGCAGGTCTGTCTGTCTGTCTGGATTCAACATAGAACTTGGCACTTGCCGGCTGCAGGTGCATCCAGCTGGCAGGCATCTATGATCAAAGACAGCTAGCCAGCCTTTTCATGTCTTCCACTTTCAATGGTCAGGTCTCACAGTCATGATGACGGAGGATGGAGCGCCGTCTCTGGCGTAGACGTGATATCCGGCTAACAATAACGCTAATAATAATTCACATAAAAATCTATAAATACCTTTTGGTTTTCTCAATAAACGATCTGCTGTCTAACCCTTGTCTTCTGTCGTTACACCACTACATCACTTCTACACACGTTATCAATAGGACTAATTAGATACCACATATTATATATATATATATATATATATATATATATATATATATATATATATATATATATATATATATATATATATATAATCTGAGCTTAAGCGCCAAAAATAATTATTTTACTTTACCATTATTTTTAATTGATAATAATAATAATAAATGTATACTTTTCTATTCTATTATTAAAAGAAAAGCCATAAATAAATTCTTCATATTGAATCAGCATATATATAATTAGAGAAAAGAAAGATAAAATGAATAGTGACCTTTTCATCACATTGTTGTTCTAATAATCGCAGAAAGTGAGTTGCACAAAGTACATACACCAATGATGATGTTAATTAAGCATAAGAGAGAAATAATTTATATTTACTAATCACAATTGAGATGTACTATTTAAAAAAAGGATTAAAATTATGCAAAATGCTGAGATTGAGACAAAGAGAGAGAGAGAGAGGAAGTTTTAATTCGATAATAAAAGGCTTCATTATAACTTAAATTTTTCTTTACAAGTTGATCACGGATTGATATCAGTTAGAGAATCATTGAAAACCAGCCACAGAGAGTACTGGACAGCTGCTGTTTCATCCCACTAATTTGGGAAACATCGGCAGTATGTATCCACCACAGTGGAGCTTCCGGTTGCAAGTCAAGCTGGCTTGTATACCACTCAACCACTGGGACCTGATTCAATGGCCACCCAACCCATTAATTCTAACTTCTACCAATTCGTGATTTAGCGTGCCCCCAACATTGTCGTTGGTGGGACATCCATCCACACACGTGACATCTAATTGGACCTCACTGGTCACAACTGCTCACTAGAACTCACTGCAGGAAACTCTATCCTGTAGCAAGTCACTAGCCAGCATCAGATTAAATTTCTATAGTTTGGTTTGTAAGGGTTAGTTATGTTTTTACGATTGATATCAGCTAGAGAACCATTGAAAACCAGCCACAGGGAGTACTGGACAGCCAGCTGTTTCATCCTAGTTTGGGTGCGTACTGCCGATGATTCCCAAACTGGGATGAGACAGCCGCAGCTGTCCAGTACTCCCTGCCCGTTTCCATTGGTTCTCTAACTGATATCAATCCGTGATCAAACACGAAAAACAAATCTAATCCATACAAACCAAACTATAGACAATTAAATTTCTTTTCTGGTTTTATTTATTATTTAACGACTGATTGATTGAGTATTGAAAGGAGCATCTAAGATGAGGGTGTAATGATCATATCTTCATAGTCTGACAGATTCTGGAACTTATGGAATACTTACCGGAGACCAGAGACTGTCATATTTCTTCATCCGATGAAAGTGACATACGATTCTGTGGACCAAGAGGTATTATACTAGACAATCTTTGATTGTGAAGCGAATGACGATAAGACATTATACTCGATTTCATGCCACCAGCTAGGTAAGAGCATACAGAGAGTTGTCATCTGAAGCGACTCAAGAATTGACTTCTTACCTGGGCAAAACATCGCTGACTTACAATATGCAGATGATATAGTCGCCAATCCTAGGTAAAGACGCTGACAAAATTCAGAGTCTTCTGAACATACTGAAGAGCGTTTCGTTGTTGTTGTCGTCAAATGTAAGATGATGCTCTACAAGGCTGGATTACATTGACTCCAACCTTAAAGATACGGATGCGTCATCAATCAGTCTATTAGGACTAATGTAACTTCTCGAATAAGTGAAATCATTAACATTTTCAACTATTTCAGTCTATATCTTTAAACTAGGTTGCGACGCAGGCTAGTTCTGCCATATCATCTTTCAGTCAACAAACGCTCATCGAATACCAGATATACCAAGATTTTGGCACAAAGTGTTCACAAGACTCTGCATTTTAATAACTGAACACTCAATAGTTTCTTTTTTAAATACGGTTGAGACATTCAAAAGAAGGAATGGTTTCATATGTCCAAACCAAGTTCACTTTTAACGGTGTGAAAAAATTTGGGCATTGGGTACATGATATTTATTATAATAAAGGTTTTTGTATTTCCCAATGAATGAAAAACAAAACGACATTGTTGTTTTTACTGACGTTTCATTTATCCCTTCAATAACAATTACTATAACCAGTATTGTTACAGTAAATAGGTCTTGTAACTTAGGCTGTAGAGCACATGACCAGCAGTGTGAAAGCCACTAGTTCAAATCCCACAGCAACCTAGATTTTCACTTCATTTCCCTACACTCATTACATTATTAGTAGCTGGTCAATTAACCCCGCACAGACTACTAGATCGCTAGTTTCTTAGCCGGTCCCAAGCCCGGGTAAAGAGGGAGGGTTGGGGTGTGGTGCTAGCAACTCCACCCCCGTAAAACAACCAAATCGCTACAGAAACTCCAACGAATAAGTATATTAAAAATCCTAAAAACATAAACAATAGCCTTAATTTTCGCTGGAATCGGGGATGTGAAATGACACAGACTGGTGAAAGCCTTCGGAAAGCCAGTCAGCCGATGTGCCTTCTCTTGACGAGAGCGAAAATAAGGATGGGTACGTGAAATGTTCGTACAATGTACGAAACTGGAAAGGCTCCCCAGGTAGCCGCAGAAATGAGTGTGCAGTTGAAGCCCTATGCTCCACTAGGAACCCAAGGGGACAATAATAAAAATAGTTCGTAAATTTATTATTAGTTAGACAACCATTAAAAATCAGGGAGTACTGGATAGCTGTTTCATCCTATTTCGGGAGTCATCACCAGTAAGCACCCACCACCAAGGTTCAAACCCAGGAAATTCCGGTTACATGTCAAGCTAGCTCACACACCATTCAGCCACTGGGAGTCGACTCAATGACCAGTCCATGAATTCTAACTTCTACCAATTCGTGATTATTTAAGGCAACCACTAACCAACATCATAGGAGGGAAATTCATCCTCACACGCGACTGAATGGACCTCATTGGTCACGACTTCTCACTAGAACTCCAAGAAACTCCGTCTTGTAGCAAGTCACTAGCGAGCATCAGATTGGTTTTCAAGAGTTGTAAGGATTAGATTTGTTTTTACGAACTGATCAAGGATTGATATCATTTAGAGAACCATTGAGAAACAGTGGGTGCGTACTGCCGATGATTCACAAATTAGGATGAAACAGCTGTTCAGTACTCCCTGTCCGTTTTTAATGGTTCTCTAACTGATATCAGTCCGTGATGAAAGACAAAAAACAGATCTAATCCTTACAAATCAACTCTTGAAAATGTATTGTTATTTTATTCCTTTGCGTTTCCAGTGGAACACACAGTTTTAAGCTGGGGTATTGGATTTTCAGTAACTGTGAAGTTTGTTTTTACGGGATGGAGTTACTAGCCTCACTCCATTAACCTCCACTGTTTACAGGGCTTACTACAGACAGTCAGGGGTGGTACAGCGGTTATAACTCTGGCCGGTCATGCGCACGGTCCGGGGTTCGATCCTCCTGCCGACGCACACTTGATATCTATGGTCGGCCTGCAAAATTTGGGCTACCGATATCCCTACTTGTACCCAAAATACGGTGCGGAGTCAAGCTGTGATCAAAAATATAAATAATAAATAAAAGAATGCGTCAGTTATGGATCGAACTTCGGACCACTTGCTTAGTTGGTTGGTATATCCTACGACTGAACGACCGATACAGTTTGTTAATGCATGAGGCCATTTTCCAGAGAGTCTAATCATCAATTAGTAATTTCAATAAAAATATACACCTACAACTACAGGAGGAACGAACGAGGATGTCAAATCGAGCGAGAATCGGGAAGGCGAGAAACACATTCAGTCATCAACCAGAAACCAATCTGGAAATTTTCGTCACTCAGCATCAACAACTAAATTTAGTCGGATTTTCAATACAAACACGTCAAGTCAGTCAGTTCTTCTATACGGATCAGAAACTTGGCGGGCGGGCGGGTCACAAAGAATATTTCCAACAGCCTGTTGCAGACCTTTATCAACAACTGTCTTCTCTGGATCTATGTCTGTCTGTCTGGATTCAACATAGAACTTGACACTGAAGTGCACCAGTTCGAGTTGCCACGTTCCAATTGGCACACAAGGTAGACAAGAAGATGAGTGAAGAGAATCAATAGAGTTTGACAAATATAAGAGTGAAACAGAATGGGTAATTGTAGAAAGGAATATGAAAGATTACAGAGACTGAATACATCTGCGCCATTGACAACGATTTTGAGCCATGTCACCTACTGTCTCCAGCCATTGATTCCTAGAGTCCCGAGGACCCCAACCCGGGAGTCTGCATCTCCCTACCTGACTCAGTTTAACTGTCAAGGATCTATACTGAAGATCAGATGGCCGGGCCGGAAAGAATCACCAACAAGAAACTATGCGAACAAACAAAACAAGAACCAATCGCCAGCCAACAAATATGCAGGAGAAAGTGGAGATGGATGGATCGGATACTCGCTGAGGAGACCGCTGGGTGACATCGCGTCAGGCCCTTGAATGGAACCAGGCCGAAATGGAAGCGGCGAGTGGGACGTCAGTGCAAGGGTGACATGGAGGAGATCGTGTGAAGAGGAGTTGAAAGAGTATGGACTAGCATGGATGCAGGTGAAAAGTACAGCAGAAGACAGAAGTGGCAAATGGAGTCGTGCAGTTGAAGCCCTATGTTCCACTAGGAACCCAAGGGAATAATAATAATAATAATATACACCTACCAGGATCGGGTCGACTATCATCATTTTGTTCATTGTGATGATCATCTTCATAATCATGTTGTTGATCTGGTTCCTCTGGATCAGGATGATGATGTTCGTCATCTTGATGTCCAGATTCATGAACATCATCATGATTTGGTCCAGAATGTTTATTATCTTCATCGTTGTGTTGAGGCTGTTCTTCAACTGCCTGTGTTGCGTGTTCTTTATTATCATTATTGGATAAATGAGGTTGAGCACTATCATCATTACTTGGTAGTGGGTTTTCATCACCACTAGTCTCCAATTGTAAATTATGATGAGAATCATGTTGCTCTGTAGGTTTTACTTCTTCAAAAAGTCCTTTCGCCTTGCGTTCTTTTAACTGGTTAATAAGGAAAGAAAAATTACACTTGTCGAGATCTAAAAGATTTAAATTAAAATTAGCTAGAGAAGTAGCGAAAACCACAGAGCACACTGGACAACCCACTTTATCTTAGCCTAAAAATTATCAAGCAGGATGTGGTTGTGGATAACTGCCATTAATATTATTATCATTATTATTGTTCCCTTGAGTTACAAGTGGAGCATAAAGTTTCAACAGCACTTTCCCATTTTGTCTTATTCTGTATAGTCCTCTTCAGCTGACTGGCCCCACGACTGCCCATAGTCTCTCATCTCCTCCATGTCACCCTCGGACCGACTACGCCCAACTCGTCGTTTCACATTAGGATTCCACTCCGGCTATGGCCTGGCTAACGTGCGATGTTATTCAACGGCCTCCTCAGTGGTGTATGTCCAATCCATCTCCATTTTCTTCTGCGTATTTGTTAAGCAATTGGTTCTTGTTTAGTTTGTTCCCATATTTTCTTGTTGTTAATTCTTTCCGGCTAGCAATTTGATCTTCAGTATGGGGCTAGCGAAGGTAGTTGTTGACAAGAACCTACAACTGTCTTTCGGAAACGTTTCCGTGATTCGTGTATCAAGTTCCTGACCTATATAGAAGAACTGGCTGGCTTAACATTGATGTTAAAAATTCGAATCTTGTTCTTTATGCTAAGTGCAGAGGATTTCCAGAGTGATTTCAGAGTGACGAAGATCTGTCTTGGCCTTCCAACTCTAGTCTTGACACCCTCATCCGTGCCAACCGCCTGTAGTTGAAACGATGCTTTCTAGATAGATAAGTGAAAGAAGTAACCTGTTGACGGTGATTCGTGCTGGTTGTTGTTGTTGCTGCTATTGGTTGGATGACCACCACTATAGAACACTGTATTCCAGCCTCAAGACCAAATATAATCAATAAGATTATAAATTCAATCTCCACCTAGAAGATGTAACTCTACAGTGTTGAACAGTTAGCAACTAAGAAGAAACATTTGTCAAGTGGTTTCCCTGGTTTTCCTTTTAACAGAAGTTGGTTGATGATGTAATCCAACTTCGAATTATTTCATTCACTTGTATGAAAATCATTCAACAAAACAGAATTCAGCACAGAATAACATATCGATTAAGGTTAACACCATATAATTAAAAATGTACAAAACTAATGAAATAAACAATTTCACAATAATCTGAATTCACACTCACATTTGAGTCAACCTGCTTTACTGTAGGAGAAAGCATACGTGTCATGATGTCAGCACAATATTAATGAAACTTTAGTTTCAGAGCTTTGGTCACTCCATCTTTGTCAACAAAATTACGTGTCCTAGTTCATTCTGTGCACAACTCTAACGGTGAATAAGCCAGAAGTGTGGAGAAATATGTGGTTCAATGACTTTTACACAATGATTTCCAGGTCCCTATGTGAAGTTTTACGTACTTCAGCTTTGGCAAATAGGTAATGAGTGTCATCATTCTTCGCACAATAATTGTGTCGCATGGTCTTTTCCTTATTCCTTTACGTTCCCAGTGGGACATAAGGCTTCAAGCTAGAGACTTGAAGTTTCGGTGACAGTGGTGTAGCCTCATGCCTAACCTTCCCTCTATACCAGCCTTATTACTGGCTTAGTGAAGTAAAGGAGTGCGGCCCTGACCGGAGATCGAACCACGGACCACATGAGGCGTGGTCGGTAAGCATTCTACCTCTGTGCTACCGACGCACCGTCTCATGGTCTAGTACATGAGAAGTCGCTTCAAAGTAACTAGCTTATAAATTATTAACTAATCCTCACTCCTTAAGGTATCACACACCTAGTATACCTCACTGCAAGCTTTCAAGCTTGTTTAAACTTTAGGCTACCGAAAACCTCCATCAAAATGCTGCATATAATTTCTCCTTTATTCAGTTGGTTTATTTACTTTGGCGAGTATTTAAAATATTTACAACCTGCTGTGATTCGCAAGTTTCTTCTAAATATGAGAAAAAACGTTATCCTCGATGGCAGCTTATCCCTCTATATGGGATAACTGTATTTGGGTTGTGTCTTTGTGTCCTAAAACGTACTCCTGAACTTTTTAAAATTGTCAGTCAACAAAACTTCGTCGTGTATTTCTCGAAGAACACAAAGAAGAGGTATCATCATAATGGAATGGTTTGCGCTTCAGGTCAAACATACAGTGTTTATAAAAGACCAACGCATTCTAACATTGCCAACAAAACGGCAGGCTATCCAGTACACCCTGGTGATTTTCAATGGTTGTCTAACTGATCTCAGTCTTTGATCAAACTTGCAACAGATCAAAACCCTACAAACAAACTCATGAAAATCAACCTTATTAGATTTATACAGTTGGTCGCCATTATTTTATTAGTATGTATAATGAAGTATATTTTTAAAACAATTAAATCATTAGAATGCATGACGCTACATACTACTGATTGACTGAAATGAGTAGTTGAAGGTCATCAACATCAAACAGATAGAAGAAGCGGTGGTGTTGAATAATTATCCTATAAAATTCATTAGGAAGATCGGTAAAGGCCAAAAACAAAGTAAAAATAATTGTGAAACTAGTAATGATAACATAAATAATAGGGAATATAAGTCATCCACTGTTATGCCATATAAAGAAGGGACATCTGAGACCACCCTACGTGGAATTCTTAATAAAGCGGGAATTACGGTGGCATTTAAACCTACAAACTCATTTAGGTACGAGCTCTGTGGGCTAAAAGACCCGGTGGACCCAATTTAACAAAATAATATAATTTACAAAATACCCTGCCTGCAATGACTGTGAGGTCAACTACATAGGTCAAACTAGTAGATCAGGGTTATTCAGATTGTCAGAACATAAGAATTTAGCTAAGGTAAGAATGGCTGACTCTGAAAAGATAATTAATTTAGAAAAAAGCTTGGCAATCGCAATACATGCATTAACACACAACTACACAATGGGGTAGGTAGGACAGATTCAAAATTCTACGAAGTAATCTAGGTAGGTGGAGAGAGAGGTTGATTACTGAATCCTTGTTCATCGAGTCTACATCCAAGACAACACATGCAACAGAAATGACTCAACGCAAATACCAGAAATATGGAAGATATTATTCCCGCAAGTCAAATCGAAGGAGGATAATAAATGATCTCAAAATTCTATTTCAATTCAAGCACATCACAACATTCTAACAAGTAACTTATTATGACTATAAAAACACTCGTCTTATATCCCATGTGATTGTAATTGATCAACAACACTCGTATGATTATTTCTGAATGTAAATTATCTCATATTGATTTCTATTCCAATATCTAATCGATTCCACACATGTATATAAATAAAGAAAAATAGTTGTGTGAATAACTTGATATGATTATGAGTGGCAATAATTTCTGCTCGAAACGTCATCTCCTGTATCCATTTATATATATATATATATATATAAATGGATACAGGAGAAACAAGTCATGTATTGATCAAATCGCCACACTACGGATCATCATTGAACAAAGCTTGGAATGGCAGCTACCTCTGTATCTGAACTTCATTCACTTTGTGAAGGCCTTCGACAAGGTCGATCGAGAGGTGATTTGGCAACTACTTCGCTAATACGGGGTGCAATCGACAATTATACATCTCATCCAACAGTTATACGACAATGCTGCATGCCAAGTAATCCACAACGGGAAACTTACGGAATCCTTCGAAGAAAAGACGAGAGTAAGACAAGGCTGCCTACTATGATTTTCCTGATTGCAGTAGATTGGATAATGAGACAGACAGCAGGCAGCGAGGAAACAGGCATAAAATTGACCCACACAAAAGACTTCGAAGGTCTGGACTTCGCCGATGATATAAGTCTGATTTCCCACAAACTGGAATATATGCAAGTGAAAGGCAACAAGTTGGCAGAAGAAGCATCAAAGATAGGACTTCAAGTGAACATAAAGAAAACAGAGGTGATGAAGATTCCCGGGCAACAACAACAACAACAGACAACAACCAGCCAGCGTATATGGGAGAAATCTGAAAGAAGCACCCTCTTTTACTTACCCGGGAAGCATCGTTTCAACTACTCGCAGACTAGACTGATGAGTACATCATCAAGCGAGGATAGGAAAAACAAGTCAAGCTTCCATGACTCTCAAGTCTGTGTGGAGGTCAACAGCACTCACCATCAAAAAATAACATCCGGATTTTCAACTCCAATGTGAAGTCAGTGCTACTATACGGATCAGAGACTTGGCCAGTGAGTTATAAAGAGCATCTCAAACAAACTATAAACCTTCATCAACAGCTGTCTTCGCTCAATACTACTCAAGATCAGATGGCCTGCCAGAAAAGATCAGCAACAGGGATCTCTGGCTATGAGCGAACCAACCCAGCAGGAACCGACTATGCAACAAATAGGCAGGGAGAAATGGAGGTGGATTGGCCATACTCTGAGAAAACCATCAAGTGAAATCACTAGACAAGCCCTCGAGTGGAACCAGAAAGGGAAGCGGCAAGTTGTTCGTCCAAGGGTGACTTGAAGGAGGTCATGTGAAGAGGAGATGAAAGCATGTGGGAAGACTTGGAGCCAGGTGAAAACTTTAGCAGAGAACCGAACGCAATAAAAACGTAAGGCTAAAGCCCTATGTTTCTCTAGAAATTAAAGGAAAGAATAATAAATTATATATATATATATATATCTTTACTCGCTTTTCTTCAGTTGTATGCTGTATAGCAACTGGAACTGGTGCACATCCGTGCAAAGCAGTTCTATATTGGAACCAGTCAGTCAGTCAATGACCTTGAGCTACACCACCAGCGACCTCCATGTGCCTAGCCAGACGACAGTTAACGTCTCCCCTTGTGGCTGAAAGTGACATTCAAACACACATACATGTGAGTACAATGATACGATTAAGAGCAATAAATTGTACTCGAAAAGTCATCAGTAAATATTACTGTATAATACAGTGTGATTTTATCAAAATAAAATTTTATCCATAATGGAATTATACTCTACCACAGTGCCCAAGTTTTATCCTTATATCAATAAGGCAACAGCCCGACATATATGCACAGTAGCCCACTGAACAGCAGCAGCTCAGTGAATGACCGACTGGTTTCAACATACAACTTTGAACAGATGTGTACCAGTTCGAGATGCCACAAACTACCCCCCCCCCTCCATATATCACACAAGCGAAGACAAAAGAGGAAAAAGAGAATCAAAAGGATGATGATAAGCAGAAATGTGAAGGACAAATAATCGTAACATCGCGAGACAAGGGGGTTTCATTAGATATGATAAATCATTAAGAGTGAATGCATCTGCGCTGTCATTGGAAACGATTTTGAAATATATCACCAATTGTCCCCAGTCTTCATTGGTTCTTACCATCTTGAGGATACCAACCAGTCAGGAAATCTACACCTCCCTACGTGGCTGCCCAAGTGGCTGGATGGATCAAACTAACTGTTATGGATTTCACTGACTGATGGACCCACGTTTTAATTTGACCACCATTAGCTGTTCTCCAACCTGATCTTATGTCAGTTAACATTGCCCGTCGAGGAATTCGATTGATGCCTAGGCGTGCCTAACACATCCTAACCGTCTCAATCGATGTAGCTTCGCAACCTCCTTGACTGACTTTCTCTCCTTACTTAGTACTCAACGCCTAACCTCACTATTGCTCAACTTATTATATCACCTAACACGGAAGATAGAACGAAGATATCTACGATCACAGACAGCTAGCCTTCACACAAAACCAGCAAGCGAAGAAGAATCATTAATATTCGCAACTTTTTTTGGAAGCTGATGAATTGGTATCACTAAAGTGTTAGAGACGCCTATCATCTAGTTGCTCAGTACCTAGTAGACGCATATGAAACTCCAGTCATGACTTAAAACACTTAAAATCCTATCACAAAATTAGTAAACGTTATCAAATTATGAAACAAAATATACTTGATTCTGTGACAGGCTAATTGGAAAATAAAGTACTTTTTGAACTTACGTTTTCAACATACTCTCTGAATATTTTATGCCCTTGTTCAAGTTGATTACGTTTCACAGATCTTGCTTCACGAAGTGATGCCTCCAAAGCTCTAAAATATGCAGATACATAAATACAAAAATGGAATTATTACTAAATTATTTGATCTTCGATGTATTCACTCATTTTAAAGGCAATACCCAATGCAAGCTGGCATGAACAGTGGAAATGTGAGTCAGAGAAGGAGTTAACCATCACAACTCAGGACGGTTATGATTGTGTCATTTCCTCTTAAAGCTTCATGTTTCTAAAGCGTGACGTTGTACAGACACTATTGCAAGTATGAAAACTCCAATTCACTTCATGGTTATCTGTGACTTATCCCTCTATCAAGCTAATCCGTATTACTCTATCTATATTTCAATTAGGCATCAACCGGTATAAATGTGAGTCTACAGTGTATCTGGACTATGGTTTTACCCATAAGTCCATCGAGTGTTTAAAAATAGGGTTTCTCACACACACTCTCTTGTAAAACCATGCAGGAATGTGCTCACGTATCAGTGTAGAAAGCATTCTCTGGCTACGGTGGATGTACCTTGCTTCCAAAAGATCAGGTGAACTGAAAGACCACACGAGAGAACTCATCTTTTACACTAAATGAAAACAACTTTAGAGATTTGCAGCATATAACATTTTACTAACATTTACAAAGATAACTTTTGAGCATATCTGAAGCTTGATGATCTATGAATTCTAGATTCATGACGATGGTTTTCTATGGAACCGTGTTAGTGACCAATTTAGAGCGTTTCTCGTTATTGTTTTTTGTCAATAAATCGGTTTGATGAGTAACCATTTTCGGCAAGTGCGCCCTTTACGAAAGAAATTTCGATATCAACTCAAAACCACAACTACTTTTTATTCTACAACAGAAGGAATGCATGATTTCTTTCCCTGAAAATAGGCAGGCGAATAAATATGGAAATTAGCTGGTTGTCCATTCCATGTACGTATAAAATTGATGGATCTTTTAAGAGACCCATTAATACATCCAGTGAGGAAAGAATACACCAAGGAAAGGAATACTTATTTCAGATCCCTTTTCTATGGTAAATTGTAAGAATGGAAGGCAATTGTTGATTGAAAGCAAAATATTACCAAGTACGGCGACTTTATCGCGGATAACGAATGTGTTATCTATATATCTTCTGAAAATATCAAAGCTACTAATACGTTTAACTAATCAGGGTGTTTTCCAGCTTTATAACACAAAACGCAATCGGCCAGCACAGTAGACCTATCATTACTCGTTAGAAATTTCATATCACGTTGTAAAAGCATCACTGATGACACAATTATTAAAACTCACCCACAAGTTGATGGACACCGTTCAACATCTCCATATTCATCACTTCCATCACAGCAATCTGTGGAACGAAAACAAGAACAAGTGAATGCCATAAAAGTACTTCATTCATTTTTGACTTTATCATGAGTTACATTTTGAAATAAACTACCAAAGTGTGGGAAATTTTATTGGCGGTCACTGAGTCAGACAACAAAAAAGCCGTTATAAAATATTTTCTCCCAATATATGGTGTAGGTGCCTTTTTCTGGATAGCTGAGTTGCAGATAAGTAGTATACTTCCCTCGCAAAAATGAACGCTTATAACAGAAACTTAGGGTGTAATAATATAAACCAAGTTTCATAACCAAACTACAGCTGAGGTAAAAAAAAATTGTGCTAAAAATCGATTAGACGCAGAGGCTCAAGAAGCACTCCGACCACTTGACGCCTTGTACTTCCACCTAAAACATTTTATTCACTTATTTAGAACAGAATCAGCACTATGAGATGCGTTGTATTAACTTATAACCCAAATGGACTCATTACAGTGACAATGTGCATTTGTGTTGGTTTTCAAAGGTAAAGTGAGTATTGTTAATATACAATAATAGTAGCTCAACTTGGATATTTTAGAAGAATAAGGAGTGAAACTAATAAAAGGTATGTAATCCCTGACGGTGATTAGGAATGATGATGCCACAAGATTGGAATACATCCACTCAATCCTAGCTTAAAGAGAGATATGAGTGAAGTGGTGGAGCGTGTCGAACACTTCACTTATTTTGGAAGTTGCATCAGCCAGCACCAGCGGATTGATCGCTGACGAAACGGATACAAAAGGTTCGTTTCGCATATGCCATATTACGCCATCTGTGGCTTAGTAGACGTGATATCCGACTTCCGACCAAAGAATGTAAGTACTGCACAACAACAGTTCTCTTCGTCGTCCTTGATGGCTGTGAAGCATGGCCATTAAAAGTGGGGGACATGAAAAGCCTGGCTAGCTTCCCTTGATCATAAGTGCCTACGTTCCATCTCCAATGTTAGCTGGTGGTATAACAGGGTGAGTAATATTGAAGGACTGATATTTCTCTTTTTCTTCTCACCTAGCTGGAACTCTTCAAATGGCATAGGAAATTTCAAAAGCTAAGGATGAACTACATCGCTTTGGGGGTACTGGTTCTCACACCCAAACACGTGTTTGGGTAACGTGTGAGAGTACTACATACAACCACCGTGAAAGTTGCAACAAATATAGTAAACACTTTGAACAGAGAATATAAATACTGGAGTTAGAACTTACCACAAACACTATCATTTACGTAGGCAGAAGGTAGTAAAACGGGTCTATATTGTAGATCACGACAAGAAAAGCGACCGTTGAGGCAAGCAGATGTACCAGGTTCATCTGAGCCGTCACGGCAGTCACAATAATCATCATTGACCTTCCACCATGATATAGTGGATGAACCATCCAAACAAGTAAATGGATGGCCTACTTGGTAAAATGACGATTCTGGAATTAGTGGGGTTAGGAGGGCCTACAACTTACTTGACAGTGGAACTCCATGGGGCAATTCAGCTCCCTGAATTACACTTACAATAAAAATAAACACTGAAGAAGAATACGAAACGCTCCACATTTCAAAGAAATGAAGTAACGCAACTATTGAATTGGTGACAAAATATAATATCCAATATCGTTTACACGAGCTTGTGTAAACCAATCTGATTTCTTTGTGCTCGCTTCTTGATTGTGGGATAAAGGTGCTTGGTCCTCGGTAAACTTCTGCGTAGTTCATCCCACCACTCGACTGTCTCAGCTTTGTTTAACTCCAAAAGGAGTTCTACTGGGATTATCTCAATGTAGTTTGTATTATGCTGCGTGTTAAGACTTTGTCGCCACTGTGAATGGGGTTGTTCCTCTCACCAGTTAGTCCTCCGGTATCGTCGTCAAAATAAAAGAGAATATAGCACATATAATTAGTGTAGGTTATTCAGACCAAAAAACAGAAAAAGAAATAAAGTAAACGTAGGAACAGACAGCTAATTAAATTTGAAGTTGATACATGTATATACCTATATAAATATATATATGTACATAATATCAGTAGTAATAGTAGTAAATGTAGTAGCTAGAGTCGTCAAGAGAGTAAAACGGGAGAGGATGTAGAGAAGTCAAACTACGAATTTAGTTTGGTTAGAATAATGTATGGGATTTTAAGGAGATAGGCCATTTGGACGCAGTCCTTGTTTCACTGCACGATCGTCCATCCTTCGCTTAAAGGCGCCCACAGACGGTGCCATAGCTAGAAGTCCTAATTTCCTCAACCCTTCCTCATACAGTTAATTCCGGAGACCAACCACTCCTTATGTCACCTGTCTTTGGACTCTTTCCAAAGGGCTTGCGTCTCTTTTAAGTAGTGGGAGAGCAATGATATTATGCACTTCAAGATGTGTCCTGAGGTATGTTTTGTATAACCTTAGAAAGAGCTCAGGAGTGAGTGCACCTAAGTGTCTATGTGTAAAGTGTATGACCGCATATGCCCTCGCTACATCCCCCATGTAATTTACGCTTATGTCCATTTTCTCCGTTAGAACTAGACCTAAGTCGCGTTCCGACGTTGTGCAGGACAAGCTTTCATTGCAAAGGGTGTAACTTGCATTCTGCAGTCTACAGGTGCGCGACTTCACTACTTTGCACTTTTTCAGGTTAAAAGTCATGCCACTGGTCACCGTCCAGTCTTCCAGAAGGTTTAGATCTTCCTGCAGCCTACCTGAGTCCTCCGGACACTTTATCACCCTCCATATCTTTACGTCGTCAGCGTATAGAAGAGTCGGGCAGCTCAGACGGCGTGGTAGATCATTGATAAAAATCAAAAACATCAGTGGTCCCAGAATAGAACCCTGCGACACTCCTGATGATGAGCTGTGCCAAAATGATCAAACTCGATTGACCTTAGAGCCAAATTGCCTGCCATGACAGAAGTGGCTCACATATACCCGCCTGGCTTATTTTGTGTGGGAGAGGGTAATGGTGAACGGTGTCAAATGCCTTCTCAAAGTCTAGGAAAACCACCTGGACTGGAACATTCATATCCCAGCATGCTGTCCAATCGTCCCAAGCTGATAGTAGGTTAGTAACGCAGAATCTGCCTTTTCTGAGACTATGTTGGGCTTCATGTAGTATATTAGACCTATCGAGGAATTCCCTGAATTGATCGTCAATAATACCTTCGAGTACTTCTCATGCCACTGGCATCTTGGCTATCCCCACCCTTCAAAATAGGAGAAAGGATGGCTCTTTTTCACTCACTTGACAGTTCACCCGAATCCATCGTGTGTTGGGACATGTCACAAAAGGGCCTACAGAGAGTTTCAGCGCATTGCTTCAAAACAGATGGCTTGATGTTGTCACAACCTCGGGACTTTCCAGGTGTGAGTCGCTGCAGCTTCGTTAGTACTATTACGGGGTGTATTTGGGGAATAGCTAATAGGTTTTTCTCCGGTGAAATAAAAGTGACTCCATTTTGGTCTGTACCAGTAATACCCACACTGCTGTTTGACTGTTTGGCGAAGGCTAAACAGAATTGTCAACCACGTCTCATAAACCGTTAATGCCCAGCTCTCGCTACGCTCGGGCCCACGCTGTTCCTTGAAGATTTCAGAAACGCTTAGTTATAACGGACGAAAAAACCAAAACACCGATCTGCCGCTTGAGATTTCTTTATTGTTACACCAACATATAAAAAGAATAAGTGAACTAAGGTCTGTGAACAAATATTACAACAAAAAATCATTATATTACTTCTGACGAGGTTTCACTCTTCTTTCTGAACAGCGACCGATGAGACGATGACTGTCGTATTGATGCCTCCGCGAAAATTGGGGAAGTTGGTTTTGAGCAAACAACCAAGAATTGATCGTTCAATCTTCAACTCCATTGACACTCACCGGCAAAAAAGGGATCCAACCCTTTTTTCCTTCACGACCAATACACGTTGACTTGGATGCCATTGCGAGAACCTGGGTCACACGGACAGAGCTGAAATGGAAAACAAACAGAAAAGCCAACACAAAAGGTTTTATATCTTCACTCTGACTAGTTATACCTTGTAAACTTTTGGAGTCAGAACTGCACTCTGAAGCAGCAACTCTATTCTGTGACACTCTATTCAACAATGGCTTACCAGTTGTAACTACGGACTTCTTCACCGCACCGTTATCGTCACACAATTTGGAGTCAGGCCTGGGGTTTACATTTAGCTTATCACTGAACTTGCTTACTGGTTCACAGTTCACCTTTGTATGCACCTCTTTAAAACGTGTAAAACACAACCGTGCTTGTCTTGCATCTTGTAACTTATCTGTTGAGGATGTACTACGAAACCTGTTACACTCACTAGGTCTATATGCACTACTAGACATCATGGAGCCTTCTCGATATCCACCTCTCTGAGGCCCTTTCGTCATCAACGATTGCGTTTTACCCTCAGACTGCTCTATTCTAGGGGTGAGATTCAATATACTGGCAAACTTGCTCATCGATTGATTGACACTATCTTTTACTAGTTTCAGGATATCATCAAATTTCGGCTCGATACCCTCATCCTCCATACGAGAGCTTATTTTTACCCACTTCCTTTGCAGCCGAGTAGGTAGGCGTGTCGCAATTACCTCTAGGACTGAGCTCGAGTTGAGGTCGCTCACGCAATTCATCGAAATCAAGGTATTCTTGTAAGTCATAAGATTATCTAAAAACTCAGTAAGTGCCTTGGAGTCATCTCGAAGTTGACTGCCATTACCTTTGACAGCTTCGTATACGTTCCTTACACTCATCGAAGGTCTTCCAAACCTTTGACGTAATATGCTCATAGCCTCAGCGTATCCCTCATTAGGGGGCATGAGCTTACAGCACTGTATAGCTCTTGAAGCATCTCCAGTGCAATAACTCATCAAATACATCAATTTCAATTCGTCACTTAATAAAAAACTACTCAGCATGATCTCAAACTCCTTTACAAATTGTAAATAATCAGCCGGGTTTCCATCGAAACACCGTGGTTCAAATTTAGGGAGTTTGATGTTCCTATTATCCCTGAACGGCGAAACAGTAACATCAACCATGTCATGCTTAACATCAGACACATCGTTACAAGTAACAGACAAGTCACCATGACTTACTTTCCTGTTTGTATCCAAGACACTCTGTCCCTTCTTTGACCCAGGCATTGTTGAACTTGACCCAATTCCAAAAACGTTCCAGATATTGCTTGTTCAAAGAGGACTTGACCGGCACCAGGAAAAATGAACGGCGACTATCCAAACTTTCACAAACTGATTGAATCCGCCAGATCTGTTTCTATCGTCAGAAACTGTCAATCACGTCTCATAAACCGTTAATGCCCAGCTCTCGCTACGCTCGGGCCCACGCTGTTCCTTGAAGTTTTCAGAAACGCTTAGTTATAAAGGACGAAAAAACCAAAACACCGATCTGCCGCTTGAGATTTCTTTATTGTTACACCAACATATAAAAAGAATAAGTGAACTAAGGTCTGTGAACAAATATTACAATAATAAATCATTATATTACTTCTGACGAGGTTTCACTCTTCTTTCTGAACAGCGACCGATGAGACGATGACTGTCGTATTGATGCCTCCGCGAAAATTGGGGAAGTTGGTTTTGAGCAAACAACCAAGAATTGATCGTTCAATCTTCAACTCCATTGACATGAATGTTTCCACCATCTCCAGACTAGTGAGGTACTGACCGTTTGGACCTACTAAGGCGCATGCTCCCTGGTTTGTTTTCTTTCCGACGTGAATCGATACAAGCTTTTAGGGTTAGCCAGGATGTTTTGGAAAGGTTAACCGGAAATGACCTCCGTACCCTTGCCTTGCACTGGTTCCTGAATTCTTGGTATGTGTCGTAGTCGGTCTCATTTTTTGATACATGCCACGTAAACCGAGCCTTCCGCTTTGCTTGCAGGTTACGTTGCATACCTCTCTTCAGCCATGATGATATTCTTTTGGGCTGTTTTGTGACCAAAGAGATGGTATCCGAGATTGCTGTGTGAATAACCTCTCTAACCACTTACCAGTGTTTATCCGCAGATAAGTCATCCCATACTGGGGAATATTCTGCGTCGGACAAAAGCCTCCACATTTCACCATCATCCGCCTTGCTATAGCACAGGCATGGTCACGTAACGTCCCACTGCAAGTGCTCACGGAGAACGAGATTGATTCCCATGACTGCGCGGTCACTACCTCCTAGAAGAGTCATGATCTGGAACTTTTCGATGAGTAGTTGGTCAATAGTTAGATTGTAGTCTGGTTTTGATGATTTTCCACGAGGGCCCCACCTAGTGTCGTCTCCAGCATTCCCAGTCAGTCTTGCATTTGGAATAGTTTGTAGTAGATTTCGGCCGAATTTTCCCTTAGCATACCCTGAGCAAGGTTCAGTGATGGGGCATTGAAATCTCCAACTATGGTGATTCGGTCATAGCCCAAGTCCCGTATTCCTGCGATGGCGCCAGGTTGCAGTAAGGATAATTATTACAACGTATAGGTGTGCCTGGAGATTTCCTAGTTCGCCTACTTTTCCTCTCCCCTGTACAGTCTGCACAATTTCGCTGAACTATTGCCCAGACGTAATTTACTGCACAAACTGGACCACTGTTCCCGATCCAACAGGGCTCGTTGTTCGAGCAAGCTATCATTGCACACGAGTGCATTGAACAGGATAAGAAAGTTAAACTTGACCTCAGACTCAGGTTTGGTCTCTAGCTGCTTGTCCTCCAATGCAGGGTCAGTCACTTCGGACTACATCAGGTCCTGACTAGCCATGTTGCCAGGCTCGCTAGTGGATGGAAGTGGTGCTTTCGAAGTTTCATCTTCCCCTGATGCAGT